CTGTTGTTGGATGAAGTAGTCTTATAGATACCAGTTATATCCAGTTGATTGATGGTGATTTTGAACTCAGCTTTGTCTTTACTGATTTTCTGCTTGATGGATCTGTCCATTTCTGATAGAGGGTTGTTAAAGCCTCCAACTATTATAGTGGTTTCATCTGTTTCTCCTTGCAGTTCCATCAGTTTTTGCCTCACATATTTTGATACTCTGTTGTTGGCACATACACATTAATGTCTCTTGGAGTGATGACCCTATTATCATTATGTAATGCTCCTCTTGATCCCTGATAACTTTACTTGCTCTAAAGTCTGGTTTGTCTGAAATTAATATAGCTACTCTAGCTTTCTTTTCATTAATGTTAGCATGATGTATCTTTTTCCATCATCCCTTTTACTTTTCATGTATATGTGTCTTTATATTTAGAGTGAGTTTCTTGTAAACAACATATAGTTGGATCTTGTTTTTGGATTCACTCTGACAATCTGTGTCTTTTGTTTAGTGTATTTAGACCATTCACATTTGAAGTGAATATTGATATAGTTGGATTGATATCTACCATGTTTGCTACTGTTTGGTTGCCCTTGTTCTTTGTTCCTATTTGTCTTCCACACTTCCTCTGCCTTTTGCAGTTTTAATTGAGTATTTTATATGATTCCATTTTCTTTCCTTTCTTAGCATCTATACTTTTTGCTGCTTTTAGTGATTGCCCTAGAGTTTACAATGTACATTTACAACCAATCCAAGTCTACTTGCAGATAACACTATACTTTTCATGAGTAGTGCAAGTACCTTATGATAACTAAGTATTCCTAAATCTTCCCTCCTCTGCCTTGTGTCGTTGTCATTCATTTCACTTTTGCATAAGCAAACACACATAAACATAATTGAATACGTTGTTGCCCCTATTTTTTTACCCACCTGTTATCTGTTAGATCGATTAAGAAAATGAAAGCTTTTATTTTACCTTCACTCATACCGTCTCTGATGCTCTTCCTTTCTGTGCTTAGATCCAAGTTTCTGACCTTTATCCTTTCCTTTCTCTCTGAAGAACTTCTTTTAACATTTCTTGCAAGCCAAGTCTCTTGCCGACCAATTCCCTCAATTTTTATTTGTCTGAGAAAGTATTTCTTTTTCACTTTTGAAGGATAATTTCACTGGGTACATACTTCTAGGTTGGTGGATTTTTTTCTCTTAACTTTAAATATTGCTTGCATGGTTTCTGAGAAGTCAGATATAACTTTTATCTTTGCCTGTCTTTTCTATAGGTAAGATGTTTTTTCCCTCTTGTTTCTTTCAAGATTTTTTTAATCTTTGATTTTTAGAAATTTAAATATGATACAACTATGTGTAGTTTTTTGGCATTTATTCCGCTTGATTTTCTCTGAGCTTCCTGAATCTGAGGTGTGGGGTCTGACAATTTGGGGAAATTCTCAATCATTTTTTCAAATATTGCTTCTGTTCCTTTCTCTCTTTCTTTTCTTTGTGTTGTTCCCATTATATGTATGTTACTTTTTGTAGTTATTTCGCAGTTCTTGGATATTTTGTTCTATTTTTCTCCACACTGTTTTCTCTTTGCTCTTCAGTTTTGGAAGTTTCTGTTGTCATATCCTCAAGCTCAGAGATTGTTTCTGAGCCGCGTCCAGTCTGCTGGTGAGCTCACCAGACGTTCTTCATTTCTGTTACAGTGTTTTTGATCTCTAGAGTTTCTTTTTGCTTCCTTTTTAGAATTTCCGTCTCTGTGCTTACATTTTTTATCTGTTCTTATGTCTTGTCTACTTTACCATTAAGCCCTTAGTGTGTAAATCATAATTTTAAAAACTTTCTTGTCTGATAATTACAACATTCCTGATGTATCTGACTCTGGTTCTGATGCTTGTTTGGTCTCTCTAGACTATGTTTTTGCCTTTTAGTATGCCTTGTAACTTTTGTTTGAAAGGTGGATCTGAGTATTGGGAAATGTGGTAAATAGGCCTTTAGTAATGTAGTGGCAAGGTGTGGGGGGAGGAACAACGTTCTGTAGTCCTCTGATTAGTTGTTAGTCTTTTTTTTTTTAAAGATTTTATTTTTTCCTTTTTCTCCCCAAAGCCCCCCGGTACATATTTGTGTATTCTTCGTTGTGGGTCCTTCTAGTTGTGGCACATGGGACGCCGCCTCAGCGTGGTTTGATGAGCAGTGCCATGTCCGCACCCAGGATTCGAACTAATGAAACACTGGGCCGCCTGCAGCGGAGCGTGCGAACTTAACCACTCGGCCACGGGGCCAGCCCCTAGATGTTAGTCTTTTAGTGAGCCTGTGCTCTTGGCCTGTGAACTTCACTAGTGCTTCTCAGTATTATCTTTCCCACCCTTCGGTGAGACACAATGGCTAAAGGTAATGGAATTGGGTATTGCTCGCCCCCCATGTGGCAGGCTAGAGGTAGCTGGAGTTAGGTATTTCTTTCCTAGATAGGTTAGTTCCCTTCTAGGTAGGTTAGTTTCTGGCAAAATAGTTTCTCCTGAGGGCAGGTCTTATTAAGAAGAACAGATTGTTCTGGCATACATCAAAATGGTTTCTTTTCTCCTCCCGCTGTTGGAAGTAAGAGGGGATTTTTTTTTCTCTGACACTGAGGATGTTAGACTCCTGAAGGAACCCCCCCCAAAAAATCTGAGGGTCCCCTATGACTGGGTCCTGCTGGAGTTTTTGGCACTCAGACTTCTGCACTTCATCAGGTGCCCCTCTAGTTTTCCTGCTCCAGCACTGGTTCCCATAGAGGATTCTGTTCCAGTGTTATTCTCTCTATTCGCCTGTTTCTCTGATTCAGGGGGCAGCAGTTTGCCTGTGACCTCACTTCTCTGACAGATCTGAGAAGAGCTGCGGATTTTTCAGTGTGTTCAGCTTTTTACTTGTTAGTAAAATAGACAGAGTGGCAATTTCTGAGCTTATTACATGCCAGACTGGAAACCATAAGTCTGTATTAACTTTTTACAGTTTCCTAATCTAGCCTAGCCATTTTCCTGAGTTCTAGACCCACCTCTCTAACTGCCTGATGTTCTTCTCTGCTTGTATTTCAACTGGCATCTTAATGTCAATAGGCTCTAGTTGTAATTAAGTACATCTGCTTGGACTTGTTCTCCTATAGGATCTCCTTACCTCTGCTCACAGTATACTCTTCCCTGTTACTTAGACACGAAATCTTAAACCTTCATTATCTTTAACATTTCTTGTCCATTCACATCTTGAAATACAATTCTCTCTAAATCCTCTCAATTCTGTTTCCAGAAGTTTCTTCATTCTGTTCTGAGTGCTCTAAATAGGTTAGAATAATTTCTTAAAGTGATATATTCATATCCATTTTCAATATCCTTTAATTTATCCCCTCCATTGCTTCCAGTTGTTATAGCACTCTTGTCCTTTTTTCCTCTTTTCTCTTTAATCAGAAGTTATTGAGAGTGTGCACTGGGCTAAATGCCAGGGAATACAGAGATTTACAAAACAGTTCACAGTCTCTTAAGTCACGTTGCTTTCTTGTAAAGCTGTCGCTGGCTTCCCATTTCCTATGAATTAAGGTTGTACTCTGAACTTGTGATTCTACGGTAGAAACCCTCTTAGATTTTTTAAGTTTTCCATTATATTCCCCAGTCTTGATACTTATACTTTAAACAAACATGGGTATTCTCTGCATATATCCCATCCCTTATGTTTTTAAAATATTCTTTCTGGAATGCTTTTCTTCCTTTCTCTGTTCCTGCCAGAATTCTCCTTATTTTCAAAATCTGTCTCAAAAGCCACCTTCCCCATAAAACCTTTTTCATCAGTCTCCCAATGCCGTCTTCATTTATCCTCCCACCTCCCAACACTTTGTACTTAAGATAGCTTTTCTTTGGATACCATATTGTGTCCTGTACATAATTATCTAAGGGTTTCTCTTATGCCTCTGGTTAGTTTGTAAAGAGCAGTGCCTGTGTCTGTGTTCTTTGAAATACCCTGCACATGATAAGTGCTATTAATATAATTTTTGAATTGCATCTCTGCCTTTTGAGAAAGTATGAGTTCTTCAAGGCCTACTTCAAGTTCACTTCTATAAAGCCTTCCCATTGCTACTACGTTTACAGCCGTCTTAGCACATAGACAGTTTCTGTTGTCTTTTTGTGTGTGACACTTTATTAAACTTGTGGGGCCTTGTTTATTAACTGTTGAATCCCCAGTACACAATGTCTAGCATATTTGTTGAATAAATGGAAAAATAATCTGTTTTTTGCTTTCACATTACTTTGTTGGTATCTCTTGTAGCATTTATCACATTCTAATTTGTTTGAGGAAACATTTGTGTTTCCTGTCTTCTTTTTCTAGGTTGTTATACTGCAAGGGGAAGGGGAGGGGAAAAATTCTTTCTAAATTTCCTACAAAGCTTTGCTCATAGACACAATAATACATTTACTCATTCAGCAATTATTTTTTGAAAAGCATTTGTTTTGTGCCAGTCACTGTTCTAGGAAATAGGGATGTGGGAGCAACTAAGATGGACAAAAATCCCTGATTTCATAGACCTCACTTTCTAGTTGGGGAAACACTCCGTTAATATTCATTGAATTTAATATTAGCTGGAAATGGTCACCTGTGAGGAAATTTTTCTCTAATTTTTATTTATCTCCCTAGAACTTTCACTTCTATATAAGGTACTCTTTATATCTCTAATATACTTTTTAACCAAATAACTGCCTTTTATTAAGCTTCTGCTGTGTACTAAGAACTTTACACACTTCACTCTTCAAAGAAACACTGCAGGGTAGACTTTATTCTTTCTGTTTTATAGAGGAGAAGCTGAGGCTGGGTGACGGTAAGTAATTTGAGGTAGTCGTGGCGCGTAGCTGGGAGTCAGGAGAGCTGGGATGCATGCCAGGTGTGTCTGCTGCTAATGCCTGTGTGCACTCTTGGACTGTGCCTCATTTCCAGTTTCTTTCCATTTGTTCAAGACAAGGAAACTTGTAAGTTCCTACTTGTTTTTTTTTCTTTCCCAATAGCCACAATATGAGAACACTTCACTGCAGAGTTCATTTTCAGATCAGTCAGTGTCCCCTTCCCAGCAAGAGGAACTTGAGCAAAAGCTTGCATCTACTGAGAAAGAGGTTTTACAGCTCAATCAGTTTCTCAAACAAAGAATAAGCCAGTTTAGTGAAGAGAAGAAGAAACTGGAGGAAAAGGTAGGTATTTTTAATAAAGTTGAATCGGGTCAACAACATTCCTTCAACATATAATTGTTTGTCTGTCATCCACTCTCTGCCCGGTGTCATACAGGTTATACATTTATATTGAAGTGATTAGTTTTGTAGCAACTTTTGAGAAACCCTGTGCTGTCTACAAAAATCCAGGGATTTTCTTGAAGGACAAAAATAGCACTGTAGGGGCCAGCCTGGTGGTGCAGTGGTTAAGTTCGCACTTTCTGCTTCGGCTGCCTGGGGTTCATGGGTTCGGATCCTGGGTACGGATATGGCACCGCTTGGCAAGCCATGCTGTGGTAGGCATCCCACATATAAAGTAGAGGAAGATGGGCACGGATGTTAGCTCAGGGCCAGTCTTCCTCAGCAAAAAGAGGAGGATTGGCAGCAGATACTAGCTCAGGGCTAATCTTCCTCAAAAAAAAAAAATACCGCTATATATTATATCTTTCTAACTAATAGTGAAACCTTTTTTAAGTTGGTGCCTACACTGAGATGTGACACCAATAACTGTTCTCCTTTTCTTCTTGGTTCCTTTCTCTGTGTCATGTTGAGCATGAAGGATTGGAAAGTGAAATAAGAGTGATCTGTCTTTCATAAGCATGTGACTTCAAGTTATTTAAGCTGAAGCCCCTGATTTAGAATAAGTAGCTAAAAGCCAAATGCTTACATACACAATGTATCTGTACATTTATTTGACCTTTCTGCCTCTATTACAGTATTTTCACCTCATTCCATTATAGTATCGTTAAAGATCAAGTAGGATGCATACGAGCCCTAGTATACTGAAGAGGCACAGATCCTTAAGCTGCTACTTAGTGGCAGAACTGATTTTAGATTTCTCTCTGGATATATCCAACTTATCATTCTATTAACTGAACCTTCCATTCAAGTGATCTGGAGCAGGTCACCATGATTTCTTCAGGGAGGTTTTGCAGCTATATAGAGAACTCAATTGACATTTTTGTTTGAGGGGAGGGGGTGTGTGTGTGTATATATATATATACACATGTGAGTTTTCCACTTCCAAAAGTGGAAGTGAGTTGTCACTTCCAAGAAGTGACAAAAATTTCTCTTGGTTTCTCTTTCTCAGCTGTATGATTTATTTTGTCTTGGCTAACTTGGAAGTATCTTAAGTACCTGTTTCTTGTTTCTTATGTATTTTTGGGGCTTTATACAATACTGAAATCTGGAGAGAGCTAAGGAAGTATTCATTGGTCATACACATGTGAGAGGGATTCAAATATTTTTTCACCTGAGACTTGTTAACTAAAAGATTGTGTGAAAGTTATGATGATACAGTGGATACAATTTTTAAAATATATTTTTGTTTTATCTAAATTTTTCCTCATCTTTTATTACTTTCAGTGTGCAGTGCTTAATAAAATCAGTTTATACACTAACTACCTATTTGATGGCTCCTACTTGGATGTCTTATAACTATTTCAAACTTTTCATGTCCAAAACACAGTTCTTAATTTGCCTTACGACTGTCCTGTTCTTCTCAAATGAAACAAAATTTTCTTCAGTGTTCATTACTATATATGCAGTTACTTATGCTAGAAACTTTACTAAGTCTAATGAAGCTTGTCTCCTAAATATATATAGAATCTGTCCAGCACTACCAGCCGGGTCCAAGTTATCATGTCTTGGCAAAGCTTTTGTAATAGCTGCTTCACTGGTGTCTCTGAATTTGTTCTTGCCCTGCTTATCTGCTCACCCTTGCCCTCTACTTCTTTGTTATTGTTGTAATTCTGTGTTTTATTTATTATATTTTTTAAATTAAAGAATAATTTATATACAGTCAGATGTACAGATCTTGAGTATTCAGTTTTATGAGTATTGCTGGTAATATGTACACATAGAACCACTATCTAAAATGAGACACAAAACATTTCAGTCACCTAAGAAGTTCCCTTGTGCTTCTTTCTAGTCAGGCTCCTTCGCCTCCATGACATACTTTCTTATCGCTATAGTTTTGAGTCTTCTTAGACATCACATAAATGGAGTCATAGAGTATATATACTTTTGTGTCTGTTTCTTTCACTCAGTGTCTTTGAGATTTATTTATACTGTTGGATGTATTGGTAGTTTGTCCCTATCTATTGCTGAGCTGCATTCTATTATATAGATATACCACTGTGTATCTAGTCTCCTGTTCAGGGACATTTGGATTATTTTCAGTTTGGGGAAATTATGAATAAAGCTACTGTGAACATTATTGTACCAGACTTTTTGTATGCGTGTGTTTTTATTTCTCTTGGGTAGATTTCTAAGAGTGGAGTTTCTCATTGGGTAGGTATTTAACTTGGAAGAAACTACTCAAGTTCTCCCAAGTATTTGTACCATTTAATCTTCCACTACCATGTATGAGAGTTCCAGTTGCTCCACAGCCTCTCAGATCCATTCTTGATAATGTGGAGGACTGAACGTTTTAAAATGAAGATCCAGTCATTTCACTGACTTGGTTAAAACCCGTTAATGCCATCTCATCTTTAAAATAAGAATCAAATTCTTCCCGTGACCTGAAAGACCCTGCCTCTTTATACAGCTTAAGCCGTAGCAGTCACCGGTACACTGTGTCTTGGGACCGTGTCTTACAGTTGCTTAAATAGGTCAGGCTTTGTTGCTGATATCAGGATCTTTACACAAAGTCTCCCCTTTGCCTGGTGAATACTTAGCTCTCTTCTCCCACTCCCTGGTCACCTATTTGTTTCGTCAAGCCTCAGCTTAGATGTCTTTCCCCTCCAATGTCTCCTGTTATGTCTAGAGCATTTTGTTCTTCTTTTTTCCAGTACTTAACACAATTTTGAATAATCGTTCTTTTTTAATATTTAAATTTTAATCTTCCTCTTTTTGCTTGAGGAACAGTGGCCCTGAGCTAACACCTGTGCCAGTCCTCCTCTATTTTGTATGTGGGATGCCGCCACAGCGTGGCTTGATGAGTGGTGTGTAGGTCCACACCTGGGATCGAAACCTGCAAAACCTGGGTTGCCGAAGTGGAGCGCAAGAACTTAACCACTACACCACCGGGCCGGCTCCCCTGAATAATCATTATTTTTTAATATTTCTCTGTAAGCTCCATGAAGGCAGGGAAATATCTTAATGTGTCACTGTAACATATGTAGCACCAGCCTTGGTGCCTGGCATATTGAATGAATGAATGCTTTCAAGTGATTTTTGCCAAGAGGGAAGAACAGGGAGTGAGATAACCCCAACAAAGGGCTGGGGAAAGAATGATGAGAGAGAGAGATCAAAGATATCAGAGTGGGTGTGTGATGGAGCAAGTTCATAAGAGGAATAGAGAAAGGTTGATAGCAGACACCAAGATGGAAGAGTTCGTCTTGGAAGAGAAGAGGAATAGCCTCTCTGTGGAGTGAGGCAGTTAGGAATGGAAATGTCTGTATCAGGGGCACTTGAGGAGGGGGCTGAATGTGGAGGGTACAGTTTGTGGTGGATGACTTGAGTTCTTGAGGGGAGTGTAGAAGCTAGAAAACAGACTCACTGATGATGCATCAACTCACCTGCACTCTGGGCCCACCTGAGGTTGGATTGTGTTGTTTCCTTCTGCATTTACTCCCTGTGGCCCTGATCAAGACTAATTCCATGACAGAAAAACATTTAATGTGATCATCATAATAAAAGTTACTCTTTGATGAACTTTTTCTTATGTGCGCCAGACAGCGTGTTATTGTGCATTAAATGCCTTTTCTCATTTAATCCTAATCTTCACAAAAACCCTGTGAGGTCTATACTTTACCCTGATTTTTAAAAATGGGATAACTGAAGCTTTGAGAAAATTTGAGTAATCTGTCCAGTTGCATGTAGATAGAAATTGTTGAAAAGCTAGGAGTAGAATTCAAGACAGTTTAACTCTACAGCTGATGCTTTGGGCTAATAATAATGATTTATAAAAAATTTTAGAGGAAAAAAATGTCCTCAATAATCTATTTTGTTCAAACGATGATATTTAAAATAAAAATAAATTTGTTTGTAAACCTCTTCTAAAACAGGTCCTCCTATTGCCTTCTAGGAATGATCTCAATATTGCATAATATCTCCTTGAAAGGAAAAATTTAACCTTTTATAAACAGAACAGGGAAAATTTATCAGTGATGCCTCATTCACGTGGAGCTCATGACTGGAGTTCAGACCTCAGTAACCTCTGTTAATCCGAGACCACACAGAACATTGAAGTTAAAAAAAATGAAAAAAACAAAAACAAAATACGATGAGCTTTCATCAGTGAGCAGGGCTGAAAAAACCCAGGATCCAGTGATTATGCGCGATCAACTTGTGGTCAACAAATAGCAGAGATGGTATCCAATAGGAGAGTGTTGGCAGAGATTTGTGATAAGGGCAGCAAGCCTGAAATAATAGCAAAGACAACAGTTGACCAACCAAAGAAAAAGAAGAAAAGTAGGGCATCTTTGCTAGTAGAAGACTGCATGACTGCACTGTTCCAATGGCTGCTTTTTGAGAATATCATTGTGTCGCATTTAAGACACTTATACAGTTAAGTGTAAATTAGGGAGTGTTTAGTAAAAATAGGCTATATATGTTTACTTCTGTAACTTACAGGGTCATTTGCTAAGGCAAGAGTAGGCTTTGTTGATGGAGCATCTGTTGATGTGGAATCTATTTGCTAGAGAATTTGTGGGAATCTGATTATGAGTATTGTGGAAGACTTGAAAGAACACTGGCTTTCAGTCACACAGTGTGTGTTTAAATCCCAACTCTCTCTGTGTTACTGGTAGTCGAGCCACTCAAGATCTCTGGGCCTCATATTAGAAAAGGGAATTTTATTATGTGGTCTTTCAGGCCACCACCAATGCCAACATTGTGTGAGTTCTGGTAAATCACACATTAAATTGTCACACCAGCAACTTGCCTTTAATCCTGAGAAAGCCCAATAAATAATAGGATTTGTCTGTTTTCCTGTGTTGCTCCTTTCCCAAAGTAATAAATGGATCCTAATGTTATTGATGAAATGAATAGATGAAATGAGATGTGATTTTTTTTTCAAATTGAAGTCGTTTTAATAAAAGTTGTTATACATTGGACCTGAAAGAAAATAGATAAGGCATAAAAGAAACTAGATTGTGGGCGTTAGCTTTAATAAAATTTGAAAGAGTAATCCATTATACTACCAATTACTGGCACTTATTTCCCTGGTGAATATGGGAATAAGCTGTAAAAATATATTAGGCCCCTGGAGTTTACTTTTTAGACAACTGCTTGTATACAGAGATTGTTTTTAATTGATTTTAAGTATGAAAGAGCTTTGAATGTAAGATATGAAATTTAAAGATAGTATATTTCCAGTGGAAAGGTGAAAAAAATTAGTACATAAAAATATGAGCTTCAGCCTATGCAAATTAGGATTTACTAGGATCATGTATGGTGTGTGTCCTATAGTAGGTGCTCAATTAACATATTTCATCAATACTAAGATCACATTAGTGCTAAGGGACACCTTTATTTTATGTAACTTTTAGAGAGAAAATATGCTTCAAGTCCACTTATGACACAATGCCTTAACAGTAGTCTTTCCTGAGGTATAGATTGGTCTCACTAGTCCCTTTCAGGTCCTAAGTATTTGGTAATTTTGCTAAGTTCCACTGGCTTTGATTGAGTTACTTTAGTACATGATAAGTAATTCCTTTGCAAGTCTGGTAGTAACAAAACAGCTTTAATTGCTTGTAGGTTATCTTCCTTTCTTTATTGACATGAAACATTTGGATATAAATTTGAAAAAAATAAGAAATTAGAGTCATTCGTTCAGAGATGAATACTTGCTTCACTGATTTCAAAATTATACTCCACAGCTCTGTTTCTGTGTCTTTCTGGGTACCCAGTAACTTTTTTAATGCCTAAATATAATGGAACATTTTTAAAGGTATTTTAAGCATCATTTAAACTCAATACATAGTTTCAACATATTCATGACACTATTGAAATACCAAAGATATGAATGGGCTTAACCAACTTTGCACATGTGCAGGCAATAAAAACTACATCATTACTGCTACCTGGCTGACTGCAATTTATAGAATGCTGTCACTTGTAAAAGCAAACAAAGTTCAAAAACTCTTGATTTCAGTAATGTAAAAATTTGAAAAAAATATGAATCTTGGAATTGATGAAATCGGGTAAATCTTACGTGAGTTGGTGGTGGTCTTAACTATAACCTGGAACTGTTATTGCCTAAGAATTACCTAAGATTAGGATGCTCAAGATTAGAGTGTTGGTTTCGATTATTAATGACACAAAACCACTGAAGAGTCATAATCTTTTTCTTTAGCTTAAAACCAGAGATAGATACATCAGTAGCCTGAAAAAAAAATGCCAGAAGGAATCTGAACAAAACAAAGAAAAGCAGAGAAGAATTGAGACCTTGGAAAAGTATCTGGCTGATCTTCCAACTCTAGATGATGTACAGAGTCAGAGTCTACAGGTAACATTAAAGAAAATGCTCATTTTTAAATGACGTGAAAACATTTATTTTTAAGTTGACATTTTAGAAGTTTTGTAATTTTTATAATGTAAAATTTTAGTTATATATTTGGCTAATTATAAGTTAAATCCATTAAAATTGCTGCTTTTAAGATTAACTTTAATTAGAAACTTTGTTCATCTAAGCATGAATAGGTCTTTCTTATTGTTAATTAATATGTGGTTACCTTCCTATTGGACTTGTACCTTAACTCTCTCATTTAGTGTTCTACTCCAAAAGGCAGTTTCTAAGCCGGTCTGACACCCGCCCCATACACACACATGCATGCACCACAGTTCTGACCTTTCCCCATATTTTCTGGGATCCACCAAGACTAAACAAGACCATTTTTGACTATCTTTCCAGATATCTGATTTGTTTTCTTTATTCTCTTAATCTCTCCATAAATTCTTTCTTATACTTTAATCCGTGACTTCCATTTACTCCTCTGACTTCTCTTCTGACCATTTTCCTTTCTTAACGATACCTTGTCCAAAGTCTTTCTACTGACTCTGTCCTCTTGAAACCTTACTTATAAATCTGTTAAACCCACTCTTAAGTCTTTTTTCAAAGTGTTTCTAATCATGGAATTTTTCAGCCTCAGCACTATTGACATTTGAGGGTGGATAATTTTTTGTTGTGAGATTCTTTCCTGCGGATAGAAAGATGCTTAACGGCATTCTCTGGCTTCTGTCTACTGGATGCCAAGAGCATTGCTCTGTCACTTTCCCCCCAAACCAAAAATGTCTATAGACATTTCCAAATGTCCCCTGGGCAGGGGCAGATTGCTGCCTGTTGAGAATCATCAGTCTAATCTGTACAGTGTCATTATTCTGCAGACTCTAGAACTGTAATGCATTCTCTGTTTATATTAATTTATACATTGTAAAACTAAGAAAGGGTAATGTCAGGAACAAACTAAAGAAGGAACGCAGGAGTTTGCATGAGCAGGAACAGAAAGGATTATAGATTAAAAACATGCTTTCATAACACCTTACACTCATTAGGATGGCTAATGTCAAAAAAACCAAAGTAACGAGCATTGGTGACAATGTGGAGAAATTAGAATCCTTGTGCATTGTTGGTGGGAATGTAAAATGGTGAAGCCACTATGGAAAACCATATGATGGTTCCTCAAAAAATTAAAAATATAATTACTCTGTGATCTGTCCGTTCCACTTCTGGGTATATACCCGAAATAATTGAAAGCAGGGTCTCAAACAGACGTTTTGTACATGGCACATGGTCGTAATGGCATTATTTGCAGTAACCAAAAGGAGAAGGAAACCCAGGTGCATCAGTGGATGAATGGATAAACAAAATGTGGCATATACATACAATTCAGCCTTAAAAAGGAAGGAAATTCTGACACATGCTACAATACAGCATGGATGAATCTAAGCTCATTTTGTTAAATGAAATAAGCTATTCACAAAAGAGTAAATACTGTATAAGGTACCTAGAGTAATCAATTTATGGAGACAGAAAGTCAAAGAGTGGTTGCCAGGGGCTGAGGGGAGAGACAGTTGGGAATTGCTAATGGGTATAGGGATTGTTTTGCAAGATAAACGAATGCTGGTGATTAGTTGTACAACAGTATGAATGTTCTTAACACTACTGAACTGTATACTTAAAAATGATTGAGAGTAAATTTTATATTATGTGTACTTTACCACAATTAAAAATAAAATTTAAAAAATACCCCCAGATTGAGATCATTCACCTTTCTTTCTCTGTCTTCTGGAAATTTCTGACCCCATTCTCCTCTTCTCCGTAATCTCGTTCTCCCAAATTTCTTTTACACAAAGGAGGAGATAAAGTGTTAAGTACTCTAGATGAAATGAAGATAGTGTGATTTTAAGCATGAATCTGTTAATCCTTGAGAACACAGTAACAGTTTCTAGTAGAAACACATTTAATATTCCACGTGTTATGAACTTTGAAAAATTTCTCCTTAGCTGCAGGTTCTAGAGGAAAAAAATAAGAATTTGCAAGAGGCTTTGATAGATACAGAAAAAAAGCTTGAAGAGACCAAAAAGCAATATCAAGAGAAAGAGGCACAGTTAATATGCCAGAAGAAGAAAGAGAAGGAGTTGGTAACTACAGTTCAGAGGTAAGAAAACCTTCAGTAATTCTGTTATTTTTAAGTTATTTATGTTTTTATAAGGCATTTTACTTAAAATATGTTAATTTATAATTATTACTCTATTCTTCTCAAAGATGTACTGTTAAGAACCAAAAGTACTATGTCACTGAAACGGATTGTCTCAGTTGTGATTTAACATTGACATCTTGCCAGAGGTTTTAGATGATAATAGTAAAAAAAAAAAATGCAAACACCAATTGAAAACTAAAAGCATTAAGACAAACTCTTTGTCTGATAACTTTGTCAAAAAGTAAGTAAAAATTCTAAATAACAAAAAGAGAGGCCACCAAATACTCAGATGGCACTCCTTAATGAGGTGTGTCTAAGTGAAGTTACTGGCACCCATGTGACCCCACCGCAGAGAAACACAGGGCTGTTTTGCCGTGTACCCTCCAAGTTTCCGCACGTATCTTGCCTCATAGACTCTTTTCTTTTAAATTAGTTTAGAAAAAACAGTTAGAATTACAGTGAATGTCATTTGTTAGTATATTTAGCTAATGTATTTAAGCTGGGAAATTAATATTGGATTCTTGAAAAACCTAGAGAACTATGTTATATATGCATCTACATGTACTCGGTTTTATAAAACTTAAACTTTAATAGATTATCAACCATAAATAGATAAAACTAGAATAAGACAACAAAGCAGCAAAAAAAGCTAAATTTAAGAAATACACTCTTAATGCTTATATATATCAATTATATGTGTCAGTGTATTCTCAGCTTTTTAATCATAATCTATCTGATAATTCCATGTTAATATTGCTGTAGTACCACTTTGAGTCTTAAATATGCCTAGTCTACTTTTTTTCTTGGATTTCAGCGCGGAAAAACTGATTTCTGGGACAATTCATTCTTCAGTGTTTCTGATCTCAGCTCCAAAAACTTCATATACTTTTGACTTTGCCTTTATTTTTCTCCTGTTTTCTTGCTCTTTAATTTCCCTTTTTATGTCTCCATATCTTATATCCTATTCTCTAGTCTCAAAACAGCTTCCTGACCTCCATATTCAACCATATAGCTTTTTCTATCATCTTAGTGGTAAAATGAAAAGATGTAATGTATCTGTTCTGTTTTATAGGGCATTATGATCATAAACTCAAGCTGTGTTGTTTTATAAATAGAATTAGGAACACCTGAAAATAATTCGAACGTTTGTTTTGGTCCCCTGTGTGCTTTTATATATTTAATATGATTTTATACTTTCACTTTTATTTAGATTTTCTCTTTTATTAGGTTTTTGGAGAACATTGAGCTTAGTATTCTTTTTTTCTTCTTGTTTTAAGTAATTTTTTTTGGCTTATAATGGTTTATAACATTGTGTAATTTGGGGTGTGCATTATTGTTTATCAGTTTCTGAATACACTTCATCGTGCTCACTCCCAGTAGTCTAATCTTTATCTATCACCATACATATGTGCACCTTTGTCCCTTTCACCCAACCTCCAACCCCCTTTCCCTCTGCTAACCACTAATCTGTTCTCTTTATCCATGTATTTGTTACCTTCCGTATATGAGTGAAATCATGCAGTATTTGTCTTTCTCTGTCTGGCTTATTTCGCTTAACATCATACCCTCAAGGTCCATCCATGTTGTTGCAAGTGTGATAACTTTGTCTTTTTTATGGCTGAGTAGTATTACATTGTATATACATACCACATCTTTTTTATCCATTCATCTGTAGAAGGGCACTTGGGTTGCTTCCACATCTTGGCTATTGTGATTAATGCTGCAGTGAACATAGAGGTGCATAAATCTCTTTGGATAATTGCATAAATTATAGAAAAGTTCTTTTGATTAATACCTGGTAGTGGGATAACTGGATCATATGGTAGTTCTATTTTTAATTTTTTGAGAAATCTCCCTGTTTTCCATAGTGGCTGCACAAATTTGCATTCCCACCAGCAGCGTATGAGCATTCTCTTTTCTCCACATCCCCTCCAACATTTGTTGTTGTTTGTCTTGGTGATTATAGCCATTCTGAGTGGTGTAAGGTGATATCTCATTGTAGTTTCAGTTTGCATTTCCCTAATAATTAGTGATGTTGAGCATCGTTTATGTGTCTGTTGGCCATCTGTATATCTTCCTTGGAAAAATGTCTGTTCATGTCCTCTGCCCATTTTTTGATTGGGTTGTTGGTTTTTTGTTGTTGTTGAGTTGTATGAGTTCTCTATATATTTTGGAAATCAAGCCCTTGTCTGATAAGTGATTTGCGAATATTTTCTCCAGTTGGTGAATTGTCTGTTTTCTTCATGGTTTTCTTTGCTTTGAAACTTTTTAGTCTGATGTAGTCCCATTTGTTAAGTTTTTCTTTTGTTTCCCTTGCCCGAGTAGATATGGTATTCAAAAAGATATTGCTAAAACCAGTGTCAAAGACTGTACTGCCTATATTTTCTTCTAGGAGTTTTGTGGTTTCAAGTCTTATATTCAATTGTTTAATCCATTTTGAGTTAATTTTTGTGTATGGTGCAAGATAATGGTCTACTTTCATTCTTTTGCATGTGGCTGTCCAGTTTTCCCAACACTATTTATTGAAGAGACTTTCTTTTCTCTGTTGTACGTTCTTGGCTCCTTGGTCAAAGATTAACTGTCCATAGATGCGTGGTTTTATTTCTGAGCTTTCTGTTCTGATCCATTAATCTGTTTGTCTCTTTTGGGGCCAGTACCACATTGTTTTGATTACTATAGCTTTGTAGTATGTTTTGAAGTCAGGAATTGTGATGCCTCCAGCTTTGTTCTTTTTTCTGAGTGTTGCTTTGGCTATTCAGGGTCTTTTGTTGTTCCATATAAATTTTTGGGTTCTTTGCTCTTTTTCCGTGAAGAATGTCATGGGAATTCTGATTAGGATTGCATTGAATCTATGGATTGCTTTGAGTTGTATGGACATTTTAACTATGTTTATTCTTCCGATCCATGAACATGGAATATCTTTCCATTTCTTTATGTCGTCTTCAATTTCTTTCAATGATATCATATAGTTTTCAGTGTACAGGTCTCTCACCTCATTGGTTAAATTTATTCCTCAATATTTTATTCTTTTTGTTGTGGTTATAAATGGGATTGTCTTCTTGAAAAGAGTAGTTTTCCATTAGAAATGAAGATGTAAATAAAATATGTAGGTGGATCCCTATTAATGTCATCCTTGGCACCTTTGCTATTTAAGAGATTTATTACTTTTCTAAGTGAGCATGCTTCGAATGAAGCATCTCAATACTCATAAATTGAGAATGTATACATGAAATAAGACCTTATTTGGTGTTTTTCCATGATGGTATATTTTTCCTTCCTCATAGTTGGCTCATTTTCTTTGTTTTTTTTTTTTAATATGAAAGACTTTAATAATTTTAATGTAATTTATTTCTCTTGGAATGTTATTGAATACATAAGGAGTAGTGTCTTTGACACTGATTTGGGAAAGAACTTATTCTGAGATAGAAATAATGTATTTTTCCCTTTTAGACTGAAAAAATAAATACTTTCATGACAAGTAACCATATATTTCGAAGCAGTGGACTACATTCATAATACATAAAAACTTCTCTGGTGCCATTATTTATTAACAATCTGAAGCCCTCATTGTACTTTAGGACTGTCAATTCTTTGTCCATAATCTACATATGGCATTTCTTCTTTTTTTTTGGAAGAGAGAGAAAGCACAGGATACTCCTAATACTTGGAAGAAGAAAAATAATTATTTACATAATGTTATAAACCGATGTTACTGCAATAAAAAAAATTTTCACTAATAAAAATAATTTTAAAATAATGAAAATGTCAAAACTCAGATTATAAGAAGTCTATTTCTTTTAGTACTCTGCAACTCTTGAGTATAATTACAAGCTGAAGTTGAATTCTTCCTAGTGTCTTGCTGTTAGGTTTTGGTTTTGGTCATGATTGTTAATAGTATAAGTTTCTTTAACCCAAACATGACTCTTCTTCCTTTCTCAAGGCTAAGACCGTCTTTCTCCTTTATCCTTTTATTCTTAATGTACCGGAGTGGCTTTCTTTCGTGATTTCCTCTTCTAAAATACTGCTCTCTGCCGGGGGTTGCCTAAGAAACTGTTAGGTTAAGTAATAAATATGTTAGATTGCTGCTCTTATTAATGAAGGAGCAATGTACTTCTGCTGGTTTAGGCAACAACGGTTTTTACAAACTTTTGCTGAGCTCAGAATGAAGGACAAAGACCTCCATCTGTGTTCTTAGGTTCCCTACCGCAATCATTCTAATCAGGGAACTGTGCTTTTGGGGTGAGGGAAAGAACAGGGCTTGGATTGCCGAGCTCAGATGAGGGTCATGAGAGACTTCACTAGGGCCTAAGGATGTCACATACTAAGCAACTCTTGACTCTAGTCTCATACTTGCCATTTCTGAAAAGACAATCAGCCTCCATTTTATTTCTTACTTGTATGAAATGTAAGTACTCAGACTTATTCATATACTGTCTGTAGGTCTTGATTATTGCTTGATTAAAAAATACTATAGACCCTAAAAAGGAACTTCATTTATGTTGAAGTCGTCTACCAAAATTAGCACACAGAACTTATTTTCTTCATATAATTGTCTTCCTAAAACAAACAGTTTGCAGCAAAAAGTAGAAAGATGCCTTGAAGATGGAATCCGCCTTCCCATGTTAGATGCAAAACAGCTTCAGAATGAGAATGAAAACTTGCGAGAGCAAAATGAGAATGCTAGTAAGGTCAGTCCATATCTTTGTTTATAAACGTGAAGTCTATACTATGTGGATATGTGTATATAGATATATAATTTATAGTTCTTTTATTCAATTTATATTTTTGCTGGTATTTAATAGCTTATGGAATTTTTAGTTTGAATGTTTTTATTTGGAAGTAGCCATTTAAGTAAATTTAAATAATTTAAATTTAAATAAAAGCCAAACTCAGGAAATTATATTACTTCTTAGCAAAAACAAAAAGATATTTTTTTCCTTCCTAACTTATTCAAAGGCTGTCTCACAGTTATTTTTATAAATTGCATAAATTATAGAAAAGTTTTATCGAGAACTGGTGAAGTACTTTTGCAGTTTTATATATGTGTGATCCAAATCATAGGCTATTTAAAGGATACTTGGTATGGATACATTTGTGAAAAATAAAATCACACCCTGATTTTTTTAATAATAAATTAATAATTTCCTGTGCTTTGCTTTTTATTCTTGAAATATTGGTACTTTTAAAAAAACAATTTGATTCAAACCGGTCTATTTCCTGTGTTTTAGATCATAGACAGCCAACAAGATGAGATTGACAGAATGATTTTAGAAATTCAGGTAAGGAATGTTTTGTGCTGATTTTAATTTAGCTATATGCTGATTTATATGCTTAATGGTTACATAACCTAAGAAATAGTAAAGCGTATATATATTTTTTTGTATGAAAAGATTAAGAGCACTTGAAATGAAGTTGCAAATTTTTTAATATTAATCTTTCAGTTTTTTAGAACGAAAATGCTATTTGGTAAATCGACTCTTAAAAAAGTTGTGAAAGTTGTTCTCTATTCGTCACCATTCCTCTTTTTAATGGGCTGTAGTCTATCTCTACTACTGAGATCACATTTGGTTAAGGTCATCAGTGATCTACTAATTAAAGACAATGCACTGTTCCTAGTCCATTGTGACTGGGCATGGAGCCCTCTCCCTCCTAATAATTCCAAATATCTGGGCCCAGACAAAATACTCATTAATTCTCTTGTCTTATCTTTTGAAGCAGTAACTGTCTTTTTGGGGGCAGGGGGTGGGTTCTTAGCCGTTCTGGCCATCTAGGTCCATAGGTTTAGTATATAATTTGCTCACAGAGACAGACAGCGAGTGTTGATAACTGGCCAACTTGGCTATACATATCAAGATATTATTTTAATAGAAAATTATAGATGAAAACAAATATGCCTCAGATAATGAGAAAATTTTTTGCTTAACATTACTTGTTTAAATAAACTTGTTATTTTTTTGTCCCTCACAGTTGAAGAAGCTAAGTGTTTTGTTTATTTGTTGTTTGGTGGTTTGTGATGAGTATAGAAGGTGTATACTCTGTAAAAACCTGAAAATATTGCCTGTTCTGAAAAAATGAATGTGAATTATTTCTCTAGCATTGGAAACCACAGAGAGAATCCTAAAGAGAAGACTTTGGGTTGAAAAACTATTCTCATTCCTTTGTACTACAGTTGATGGGCATGTTATCAAGTTGATACACATAATATAGCAGTTCCCTTCAATCACTAGTTCTTTAAAGCTGCCTAGTTTCTCCCAACTGCTTGCATAAAGAATGGCCAGCCTTACTCCTGTGCAGAGTATGATGGCCTTCCCATATGCTATAGCTCTGTTTTTTTAATTTCTTCAAGTTCTTTTGCATAGCCAAAATAACACAAAATATAATTAATGATGGCAGAGAGCTTCCCAACCTTTTTAAAACATGAGTTATGCGTTTAAGCTATCAGTATAATAGTTATTGTAAGATTTCACTGCCATTATAGTTTGAGTGTTTTGTTCCTCCATAGTTCCGGGAAGTAGTTCCATTTTAGAGTGTTTAGTAGACAAAGAAAACTCAGTATTATTAGAATTTCATGTTTCACTGCTTCTTCTATGTCCCTGCAAACTGTTGAGAAGACCAAATTTGTTAAAAGTTCATTAGGCTGGTTTGAAATATTGCATTGCCTTGGGTACAAGCAGGTTATTCTTACAGTTTAAATTTTATGACAAAAGAGAAAAATAAAATCTTTTGCTGTGTTCGTTTTATGTCCAATTTACAGGAGATAAAGATAAGGCAGCGTTACAGAGAGAAAATGCTATATTTAAAGTACCGCTGTAGCTTACCACCTTGCGGTAGAAGTCGTGTACTAACTGGTTTAGGTCAGTGGCAAGTTTATTGCTTCACAACGATGGAAGTTGAGGAGAAATCAGTCTTCTACTCATTATATTGTATTTGTTGAATATAGAAAAAGTAGTAATTCATATAAAACTGTATGCTGATTTTCATATTGAGTTCAGTGCTATAGAAATACAGATTTATCTACTGTTTTGTTCAGTTGTCAAGATGATATTGTTAACTGGCCTGAATACCTTGTGTATTCATTGATCATTTAGAAATATTGCCTTTCTTTATATCCATGAAACCAGTATGCTGAACTGGCTGCTTCTCCTACAGGTTTTTCTTCTGTCGATATACAATATAGAAAGATGTTTCGCAGTACAGTGTTCCCCATCATTTCTATAAACATGGCTGCAGTCAGAATGTGCATGAGTTCTTCATTGGGCATTACCCTCCTTCCTACCTATTCCTCAAAAGCGCATTTCACTCACATAAGCGTGTTTCCAGTGAGCTGTTATCACTGTAATCTTTTGGTGGAAGAGATACAGATTAAAAAGTTTGTTATGTTTACTTGTTTTCTCTAACATTAAAATGTTTCCTCAGGGAAAGATCTTATGGATTTAAGTGGTCTTTCTGAATTGACAGCTGTCTATGAATTATCATGGTATCACAAAAGACAGAATGATGCTTTAAAGGTCATTAAGACTGTTCACTCTTAAAGGCGTGTTTGGAACCACCAATCTCAAAACTGTGACAGTCTGTCCTATTTAGAACACTTCAAGAATAAACGTTCCCACAGCGTCAGAAGATCTTATTCCAGTTTTGAGCAAATCTCTCTTTAAGCCTTCATCCAGCAGGTTTTCTCAGTGGAAATGGTGGGAAAATGGGTCATAGCCAGTAAAATGTTTCATAGGTAGAATATAACTTTTCTTTAACCTTAATAAATATTGATTGATATAATGTTCCCCATTATTATTGTGATGTTTATCTCCTGTTTTTGTGTTATCCTAGTTTTGTGATGTGTCCTCACGTGAAGTTCTTTCTTCCTAAGTTTTTAAATTTTTACGGAGTTTTACCTATGTGAAGTTGCTTTATAATGCATGAAAAACTAAAAATATTCTTATCAGGAATTAATACTAATTTTTGAAAAACCTACAGCCAAAAAAGTCTCCTATCAAATGAAAAGTAGCTTTTTAAAAAGTACGCTTTCTGTGCAGAGTTTGTACTTAGAATGAGAACAGTCTTTAAGGTACCTATAGGCCTGTTGTATGCACATTATAGTTGTTGCTTATTTAAAATGTTAGAAAAAATATGTAAAAGGTGGATTTAACTTTTGAAAAATCAGTTCTTTGAGATTTGAGGTGGGGGCGTTGCAGGAAAGGAATCAGCTTACTTGAATCATGAAAGAATGTTCTTGAGCCTATATGTGCTATTGAGTGGTCACCAAACCTATATGAATATTCAGATTATTTGGAATGGGCTTTTTAAAATACAGGTTTCTGGGGCCCATTGTGAACCTAATGAATCAGTATCTCTGAGGTGAAGCTTGAAATATGTATTATTAACAAGTTCCCCAGGCAATTATTACTGAGAGCCTGGCAATGGTCCTAGTCCTAGAGTCATGAGGAAATGTAACAATCCTCAGCATTCTCATTGGACCAGAAATGGAATCCACTGGGAAGACTGAGGTTTAAGTGAAAAAAAGAAAAATGTGTAGTTCCAAGACACCTGGGTGTTCTTCCACATTTGAACTGTTTTGGTAGCTCTTGCATATAAGCCTGAGAGCAGATCAGGAGCTGGAAGAAAAGGAACCCAGGCAGGTTGTTTTTTCTTTATGTCATGCTGATTTTTTAATAACAGCTTTATTGAGATATAACTCACATGGCCTACAATTTACCCATTTTAAGTGTACAATTCGGTAATTTTTAGTATGCTCACAGGTATATGAAACCAAGATCACAGTCAATTTTAGAACATTTTTATTGCCTCAAAAAGAAACCCCTTGCCCTTGAGCTATCACTCCCTTAAACCCCATCCCCTCCCCTGCCAGGAAGCAATAACTAATCTACTTCCTGTCTTTATAGATTTGCCTTTTCTAGACATTTCATATGAACGTAACATGTGGTCTTTTGTTTTTCTTTTCATGCCCACACCAATGTTAAGCTCCATTAATTGCCAGCTGATCACTCTGTTTTCAGCAATGCTGTGTGGCATAAATTGCTTCACAGGCTGACCCATTCTGGCTCCTTCAAAGGAGATTTGTTCTCTTCCTAAGAGTGCTCTTCCCCGTTGTCACCTTCACTGTTTCTCTCTGGGAATGTAGCTACCTGTACTTTAGCCTATGCCTTCAATGAATGTAACGGTATCCTCCCAGCTGCCTCTCACCGCAACCTCCACTCTTTTTGAAGTGCCTTTAGGCTTGAACTTTTGCAACACTGTTGCAAATGAATTCAGTTCCTTTAGGGAGACATTTGGAGCACTCTGTTCTGTGGCTGGCTTCTCCCCAGGCAGAATCTCTGAGCCAGGTCAGTGCGGACCAGAGCAATGTCAAGCTTCTCTCTAAGTGAGTGTCTAGGATGTGAGCAGAAGCTCTAGATCTTGGCTTGCCTCTCGCAGTGTGGAACCCCTGCCCCAGAAGCCAGGGCACGGGCACTCAGGGCCCCAGTATTTCAGTGGTGCTGCACCCAAGGTAAAGCTTCATCTTAGGAGGGAGCCTGAGCAGAAGAAGGGAGCCCCCACCTTTTGGGTGTATTTACCTGGAACTTAGCTTCACCTACAGGTAGCTGAGGGCAGAGTGAGAAATGCTGATGTCCTGCCCTTTCTAGGAAGATAGCTCTCCGAGTGGGAGCTGAGGGGAGAGGGGTCCTGTGTTACGGGCTGTGCCAGTCTGGAGTAGAATTCCCATCTCGCTGAGCTGTGAGTGTGTAGGGATGGAGTGGATTTTCTTTCAAATACCACAGATTTTTGCTGTTCTTACTAAGTTTTAGTAGATTTTCTTGAATATATGTTTCTTCATTTGCTATATGCCCTCAGGACCATTTCCAGAAACTGTAAATGTGTTCTTTTATAATTTGCACTGGGGCGCGAGCCTGAGGAGCTCCTCATGCTGTCATGCTGGGAGTGGAACACTCAAGCAGATTGTTTTTAAAGTTATATCAGGGAGCAGGATGATAGTTAGCTTAAGGAATTTGAGTTGTACACTGTCTTTGATTCTTAGAAACCTAAAAAATGGCAATTTTTATGGTTTTTGCAATTCCTTATTTATTTCTCTTAGTTTTTATAAATATTTTGAAAATTCTCCCTTTTATCAGTATGGAGGAGTGAGGAACAGGGATTTAATATTTGTCCACACTTAGGCCAAAGTGAGAAATGGGGCCTCTATTGCCACATGCAGAGGTATCAGTGATGTGATGATGCTGATGCTAATGTTACATGTTAGGGGAAGTGTGCTTTCTGGTCTATATTT